TATGAGGAGCATTCAAAATATTATTGTCTCTGTGATGTTTTTTTTTTTTTGGGAGTTTGAGCAATTGGGTGTTGAGATCTAGAGCATTTGCTTCAAATTTTGATTAGCTTGTACACTCAGATGCAGTCTGTTCTACAGACAAATGCTCAGCCAGAGCCAGGGCAAGACTAAGGAGACGCCCTCTTTCTGGCCGTGCAAACTCTCTTCAAAAATCATTCGTTCTTGAAAATTGGGAGCTTTTGGATTATCATTTAGTAAAGGTGGGATCTTTATGATCTTTCAGTTTGTTTATTTCTTTTTTTTTTCTGAAATTCTTGTAATTACCATCGGGTGACATAATTGAATTCATCAAGTTTGTGAAAAGATGAATGCCATTTATTGATAAATTTGTGTATTTTGAGTGAGATAATTGTAATTGTTGATTGTCTATTGCTGTGTGAGTTCATGAGTAAAGTTAAAATATATAGAAAAAATGCAATCTTGCGATTTATTTTAATTCCTTCAAAAAGATAATGAAAGTGTTCAACATTGCTCCCTTTTCTTTACTTTTCTGTTTCCTTAATTCACGCTTCTTTTTACAAACTTGTCAGTTCAAAACTCAACTCAGCCTTCTAAGTTATAATTCGTCATAATTGGTTCCTGACTTTTGCATCTGGGTTTTAGTGTCTGTGTTGAAAAACGAATAATCAAAAGACTATCATACAGAAACTTCCTAGAACTTGCTTGGAACCCAAATCTCACAAGCCTAATTCATATACGTCAAGTAGTGCAATTGGTGAATGTTATTTCGGTACATTTTGTGCTTGGTTAGCATTTGGAATTGTTTTCTCTTGAGAAAAGTTATTAGCAATTGATGTTAACTGCATTTTTTTCTCTACATACATACTATCAGAAGCCTTGATTTATTTTTTCTCTACAAACATTCTATCAGAAGCCTTGATTTGTCTAATTCACGTTTGTTTCGATATCACTGGATGTGTGTTCAGATGGAGTGTTGTGAGAGAGAGAGTTTTATGGTGTACTTATCCTTTTGTTGGTTCCTTTGAAAATCCCATTGCATATTAGTCTGTGATGTAAAGAGATTAAAATCTTGTTGCCAAAACTGCTCAAACATATGTGTATCTTAAAAAAGTTGGAGAATGACTAGCCTGGAAACACACTGATAGCAAAGCTTCAAATTTTAAACATTCATATTTGTTGACCACTGTATATATAGTATACATGAGCTGTAATCATTATTTAACATCTTGTTAATCCTTGTGACATTCACAGGCGTCGTTTTTAGAGCTGCCTTAAAACGATACAAGTGTATCAAGAAAGATGGGAACTGAAGATAAAGAAAAGGATCTTATGCCGTCTATCAAGATAAAGGTGTTATTCTTTGCCCGAGCAAGAGACCTAACTGGAATGACAGATACTTCCTTGGAAGTTTCACCTGGTGCCACTGCTCATGATTGCTTGAATAAGCTAATTTCCCAATTCCCAGGCCTTGACGAGATACGTAACTGTATGGTACTCGCTCTAAACGAGGAATACACCTCCGAGTCTACTGTTGTTAAGGATCGAGACGAGTTGGCAATCATACCTCCTATTAGTGGAGGTTAGTTAAGGTTTATGGTTTGCTATTGTCCATGTTTGAACTACATTTGTAAAAAAAACACCACACTGTGTGTTTGTCTTATAGTGTGTGTTTGTCTTATAGCATACTTGTCCTACAATCTTATTATATAAAAGTTCAAAGTTCAATTTGCAATCATGTTTCGAATTCTGCAGTATCTTTGGACTTCAGGTGTCAGATTACATCTATTTTTCATAATCGAAATCACAATGTTCCAGTTGGACCTGTGTGGTCGAGCGGTTAGATAACTGCCCTCTTTGCCCCTGTGCGGCTCGATGGCATAAGCATGGTATGTCTATTGAGACCAGCATTTCAAGTGGCTTTGGTGGCCAATTGAGGTGGATATGAGTATAAAGGACAATACATGATGCAATAATATTCTTCTATTGGTACATTATACATTCAACCCAACCAAATCACACCTGCTAAAAAAGAAGGGTAGCTAAGGAGGTATTACAAGACAAGTATAAATGGACTGAAAGCAACATATGGAGTTCTCGGTACACACTACATAGTACATACCGGCGTGACGAACAATTCCCAGTTCTGAGACGCGAAATTGAAAACATACACACACATGAAATATACAATATAATACTCAAGCCTATGCATTTGCTCAAGTTCGACACCGTGTATACTGTTTTACGCGCAAACATGTTTGCACGACTTATCTAAGACTCATTACAGGCCAAGTGTTAGTCGAGCCAACAGCAGGCAGTGAGGGCCGAATCATTGGGACCCTTTTCACAATCGAGAAAGCTTCGTTCAGACGGGCAGCACGGCTCATAACTTGTGATACCTTCTGCAACACAAAAATTGAGCAATGAAGAAAACCACAAAGAGAGTCACCAGTGCATTGGCTTACAAGTCATGTGATGATTAATTTCTTCCAGACAATAAATTGATATCGTCTTTGAGAACTCACTATATTCAAACATATATGCCCCACTCATAAATGCCAACGCGAATACATCCCAAAAAAAATGTATAGTTGAATCATCAATACAGCAACTACCATTTTTTATGCAATAAATAGCCTCAATCTGTGGTGAGGAATGATCAAAACAACAAGCAATAGAGATGATGGATCATATCCATAGGTGTGAGAATGATCACAAAAACCTATGCTTTTCAGACAGATGCTAAACAGGTGGAGCAAAAGCGCCTTCATGTGCTTTTCGCAACGTTGATGTCTAAAGTAAGACTGTAACCGCCACAAGAAATCACACAATTGCAACGAATGTACATTTTCTGTAAATAGCAGATAATGTGAACTTGCTTAACAATCAAACAGCATTTTGAGTCCTTAAGTGATCCCCCATAAATAACCCTTCTTCTCATACAAGAAACAAAAGTTTCGAGTTCTCAGGACGATGTTGAGTCTCTTGGATCATTCGTTAACTTTGAACGAAATAGATCAAATATTCAAAATGGACATAAAACTAACCATAATAGTATGAACAAAATAAGATCAATGAAGAAGGATCCTAACTTCCATACTTAAAAGATGATCTTCAAAACTCAATCATACAGTAACATGATAGACAGCACACAACCAAACACTCTCATTCATAATCACAATAAAAAGGGCATTTCTCAATCTCATACTATCACCAGATATGCAATCTTTCATCTCCAAATTCGCAGACACACACGGGTAAAACAAAATCGATGAGAAATCTCTAACCTTATCATCAACAGTAACCTTGATCTCCAGTCCCTTGGCCCTCTTCTTCATCTTGTACAGCCGCCGACCCAAAATCGCAAAGCCCATCATAGCAGCAGCGGCAACAGATACGGCCCACACAGGGCTCATCCGAAACAAGCAATACCTAAGGAACTCTACCGGCATCTTCCACCACACAATGCTCCTCTTCTTCAGCTCGCCATTTTTCTTGCTCCTGTCATCCTCCATAACCTGATCCCCGCCCTCAACCATCTTCATACCACTGTTTTCTTCGCCTGAAACCTCCAGCTCAACGTGAGAATCCACCTCCTCTGCAACAGCTCCGTGTTCCAGGGAGCTAATTTTGACCCCACTCGACTCCAAACAAACTTTCCCCAAATCCTCCGCTTTTTCCCCATCTCCCTCGAATATTTCCCCAATCCCTCCAACTCTAACACCCTTCTTCTCATCCTGAGAAAAACCCATTTCATTTACCGCCTCCTTTTGGACAAATTCCCGGTCATCGGACCTGTCGCTGCCGGAATCTGACCAAAACTCGCCGGATTCCTTGTGGATGTACATGTTCGGGTTCTCCTCCGGCCCGGGATCGATCCAACTGGGGTTATCGGACCCAGCAGCGGATTGACCGTCACCCATGTCCTCCACGACAATATTCCGAGCATCTAGGGAGAAATAATCGAGCTGAATCAATCCTCCGGCGTCAATCTCGCTGAGAGGCTCGCCGGGGGCGGAGTCGGAGTCGGAGGTGGAGTGGAGGAGCTCCCAGTCATTGAAGTCGGTCGTAGCCATGTGGACTGAGAGATTGAGATTGGGATTTTTTGATTCAGATGAAACGAGAAGAAAATGATGAGAGAATGATGCGTTTCTCGTCTGTAAAGGGTAAGGCATAAAAGTCCATTAATAATAAGCTGATAAAAAGGCTTTATGAGTCATAACTTCCGACCTGGCTTTGTTGGCATTGTTTGGCCAAACTCCTTAATTATATATAAAACAGTTAAAGAAAAACACATAAAATATAATACTACCTCTTATTCTTTTTAAATGTCGTTTTGACTTTTGTGATTCATTCATTTTATTATGTATCTAGACATTAATATGTCTAGATACATAACAAAATAGATGAATCAAAAAAGTCAAAACGACATTTATAATGAATAGGAGTGAGTAGTATAATAGTTGTGTGGTAATTGGGATTTGAGTTACAAGTAGAGATTTAAGCATAATTAGAAATGTTACTAGTTATATCATCTATTGGTTTTTTTTTTTAGGATAACGAGGACAATGATATTAAATGAGTTATTTTATTTTCATAAGCTCTGTTCGTTTAACTTTAAAAAGTAATAAGATTATATCTGTTTTCCACATTTTTTAGTCAGTGTTAAGTCTAAAAAACAGTAAGCAACAATGTTATGATCTATTTCCATTTTTTCAATCAGTATTTTTTTTTCACCCAGTGATATTCGATGAGTTATTTTATTTTCATAAGCTTTGTCCGTTTAAATTAAAAAGTAATAGGGTTATCATATATATTCCACATCTTCTAATCAGTGTTAAATCTAAAATTGACCATGTTCATGGAAATTATTCTCATATAAATTATAATATTTATTTTGGTCAAAATATTCTCATATAAATTATAATATTTATTATCGGAACCATTTAGTATAAAGTTCAATTTTTTTTTTATTTTTTTTAATTTTTTTTGTAGCATTCTCTTGCAATACTGTAGTTTATAATGTAGTTTTTTAGTTATACATTCGATATGCTCCAATATAATCTATATCTATATAAAAAGAATTGTCATTTTATAAATATAGAAAGTTTTTCCCGCCAAATCATTAAATATATTCTAATTGTAGTAATAGTTGAACAATTGTAAATAAGCACAAAAAACGGCTCCTTAAATGCAATGTTCCTTAATTATAGCTTGGTGTTCCTTAATTATAGCTTGTGTTCCTTAATTATAGCTTGCACAATTAAATGGCGTAGATTGGCTTTTTTATTTAAACTTTCCCACAAAAAATGTCAGAATTTTTGTTTTACATCTCAATCTGATTTTTTTTTCTAACACATTAATTACTTGTTTTTTAAAATAAAAAATATTTTTTATTTAAAATTGTTTCAACACTGTATGGGGTAATATGACATTAATTAAATAACAATTTTTTAAGAAAAAAATTGTTTCACAATATTCATCGAAAAAAAAAATTGTACAATATTTTTTTGGTGTGTACAAAATAAGTTGCTAAATAATTAGAAAGAATCCCATCTTGCACAGAATTCTCATATAAACTAAAACTTGGACAATATTTTATCCGTCTCCATTATGTTTCATCAAATAATAATAAGTAAACGATTGTATCATAAATAGTCTTTTAATTTGCAGCAAACGATATAGATACTAACAAAGCAACATTGAAATCCATATATTTATCTTATCTAAAAAAACTAACATTTCTATCTTCCAAAAAATCTGAAAAAAATATCTTAAACAATGTAAAATAACAAATTTATGACACATTTATATTCGATTAATTGTTTCACATTGACAGAATAATATATAACACTTTTCATCAATTTCACATTGACAGATTAATATATACACATTTTTTTAGTGTGAGATTATTTGAAATTATATAAATTTTTTATTACAGAATAATTAAAAAAAACGAATAAGATTTTACAATTTTAAATAAGTTTTTTTTTTTTTTTGGTACAAACAATTTTAAATAAGTTAATACATCTATTAACAGTTGAATCTTCCAAATAATGTGAATTCTTGATAGATTAAAAAATCGTATAAAGATTTATAGCAAATTTACCACGTGTGAATTGCGGACAGATCTTTAGTCAAACTAAATAAGAGTTTTTCTTTCCTCAAAGACTTTAAAACTCATCCAAATCAAACATTATCGTTTATTCCAGTTTTAATCTATATATTCCATTCTTCTATCTCAGAATGTCCTACGCAAGCTGTAAGTTTTTTTTTTTTTTTTTTTTTTTTTT